GAATACAAGTCTATTAATTTAAATTTTCTAAATTATAGCAGAGGCAGCAGAGAAAAAATGGAAGGTACAAAGGGATAGATATATGAGAGAAAAAAATTAATAAAATGTAGCACTGTTAGTGGCAGTGGAGTTTCCTATTCGGCCAGAATTTTACGTACGTGTGTTCTGGCATAAAAGCGTAAAACAGAAACTGAACTGAAAGCTAATTTCTGATTCAGTTTTCTTCCACACAATTTTACGCATGTGTGTTCCTGGTTTTATAAACGTAGTTGCGGTCGATACAACCTTTATACGCTGCATCGACTATAATTTTACCGCAATTCTTTATGTAATGTTACGTATTTATAAAATATCTAACCAGAACCTTAACTGATGTAAATATAAGCCTATCCAACGAATAAAACTGACAATAAAAAATATAAAAAATAAATATTTCAAAGACACGATTAAACATTGAAGACGTACCTACAAATTCATATAAATTCTGAAATCCTTATTTTGCATTAGAACAAATCAGCTTGAGGATCGTACTAACGTAACTTAAGCAGAATTTTGGCATTCTGTAAGCTAGTGAAATAAGCTTTTATGACATTATTTTGCTAGCTGTACAGTTTGGTTAAATGCACAGCCAGCAAAATAAGTTAACACGACTTTACAGGATACCGCTGAAGTGTTTAATTCATCTAACTTATGACCATTACTTCCGCTAACACAAAACTTTTTTTGGCACTTATGTGAGGACCAGAAATTTTGTATTATAAACTAAAATTTTTTTTGTTTAATAAACTTTGTAAAGACGGAACAAGAAAACAGAAAACTAAAAGAGAAAAAGGAAAAATAAAATTAATAAAAACCTCGATTCCCACGAGTTGGGTTCCATGTTGAGATGAGTACATTTCTGTGTCACGATTGTGTCACCCGTCCCCTCATTGGACCAAGAAGATTGTCATCGCTGACGAAATTGGAGAAAGGTTCGAAAATGAGGATTTGATATAAAAGAGGACAGGCACGATGAGTAAGTGTGGAAGTTATTATTGGTGTCTGTGTGTGCACTCCGAATGTCTACCTCCCACCGAGATTCCGTCAACCAACACCTCCTTCTCGCCTACAAGACTAGAACTGAACTCAACTGACCTCAATACATATTCAACTGGAAGGAACTATTGAACGTTTTTTTGTGCTGGACTTGATCTTCTATACAACCTAAGGTATTTATCCTGCCCGCACACTATTGTATGGTCTCTCTCTCTGCGTAAACTAAACGTGAAATCAGTTGTAACTAGAACTAGAAAATGATCGATGAAACTAGAACTAGAACTATTTTATTTACTAATGTAAACCTACGTTAAACATATATAAATAAACGGTTGTTTATGTTAAAACTTCTCAAGTGCAGTTTCTTCCGTTTTTCTCTCCATTCCGGGTCCAACACTCATACCTATGAATGCTCGCGCAAACAGGTGGTCTCTGTATCGACCGAAGGATACAGTGGTATCATCCTGACGGAGTATCGAAGAGATACCGACCCTATGGTCACATATTTGTTCAAAATCAATTCATTACATAATATCACTAATCATATAATAATTAAAATTAGAGATTAGAGCTTATATCACTTTTCTTCAAATTGAATATTAACCATATCTCAAATATTTGAATAGCTTGAATACACCAAATACTTAGTAAACTTAATTACCTTATATTACTTATTTACAGGTACTCCTCACTTTACGACCAAGTTCTGTTCCGACAACTATGTCGTTAAGAGAATTGGTTGGTAAGCAAGGAGCTTGCGCCAGGAATATAGGATCGTTGTAAAATTATAAAAATTATGCAACAAACTTCAAATTTATTCATAAAAAGACATGCATATGTACAGTACATATTATCATTTGTTTATTTGGTTATCTGGTGGTATAGAAGTTTTTTTTCCAGGTAAGGGAAATGACGACAATGAAATAGAAGTTATACCTTCAAGGGCAGAGGTCTTGGATGTAACAGTCAAAAAGTAACTTGTAATTGTGGTTTGTGTTGTAATCTTTTTTTATTGATAAATTTCTCTATAGCACTTCAAAAGTTCACTCATCCCATATTCAACTTTATGTTAAAACATTCAGTATTTGGATCCATAGCATCAAGTTCCAAAATAGCCGCATTAATTTTGGAGAACACACCAGCTAACCCATGTACCATGAATTTCTTTTTCACTTCTTCAGTTTTTTCACCTTCTTACTCTTCCAAATACTGCATCGCTTCTAACTCTATTAAATCTTCATTTGTTAGTTCTCCATCGGGATAATCCACTAATTCAGCAATGTCTTCCACTTCAACATCTAAATTAAGTACATTGACAAGGCCAGCAATTGTTTAAATTACATCAAACTGACTAAAAAAAGTACATAGCAAGCTTATACTACGCTTGGTGAGCATGTCACCAATCGCCACTGATCAACACTCAAGCAGAGAAAGGGGATTTCCCAAATTGCAGGTCGAAACTCAATTGGTCATAAGTGTGAGTGGTCGTTAAGCAGATAGGTCATAAAGTGAGGAGTACCTGTAGTTAATAATTTATTTAATATTTATTATTTAACTTTATTAATTTATTAATATATTAAAATAAATAAAACAAGTAAACAAAAGGTAAAAAAGAAACAATTTACTAAATTTAACTTCAAAGTTCAAAAAGTTCAAACTTTTAATTTTAATTTTGAGTTTCAAAGTTGCTTTTTTTAGATACTCTTATTTCAATTACAACAGATTAACAAATAGTTGTTCTCATTCTCAACTACTGAAGATTTTTATTAAAAACACAATAATTCAAAAACATTCAGAATCTGGTCTGCTTCTGTTTCCTGTCACAAATTAAGCCAGAGGTGCTGAAGAAACACTATCTGTTTGCAGTGGACATAAACAGACACCAGTGACACAAAAAGAATTAAAATTTTTTTGTTCAAACATTGTTTCTAAAAACATTTATGATAGCAAATATGGTTTATCACACATTCTGCAATAATCATGCATGTGTTAATAAAAAATACTTATTAATTATTCAAATATTTTTCATTTTTGATATAGCCCTCCCTTTGGTTATTTCTTAATCTGCCATTATGACTACATATAGTGGATATTGGAGGTATTCACAATATTTAAATTTACTTTTTATCAATCTTATATTTGAGATCTCAAATCTTGAATATCTTTTACTATTTGTATTTGCAGATATTATTTGCCCATCTCTAATTAAAATATAATGTTAGATCACATATAATGATGGTGCTGGTTTGTTTCTAAAACGGAAATACTCAAAGAAAGATGAATGGAAAAATTTGAATTTGGCTTGTATTCTCAAAGAATCATTTTATGGCTTTTGTAATAAGGGCTTTGAAAATAATATAATTACATTCTTAGTATCAATACAACAATGACAACTGCTACTGTATTGATACACAAGGATGGCTAAAAACCCAAAAGTACTAGGATTTAAGTAAAATGTTTTCATTGTGACCATCAATATATTAAAATATATTGATTTCTCTAAGGATTTTTAATCTCTTTTTCATAATAGACAAATTATCTAAAAGTTTATTGATTTATATTTCATTATACAGTGGGTGATTGGCTAATGAACATAATCCGTTCCAAGACCATGTTTGCTATCCAAATTGTTCGTTAACTGATTATCAATTTACATAGATTTTTGTGGAATTTCATTAATTCATTCTGGAAAACTCAAAAAAATGAATAAAAAATTATATACTTTCTTATTATCTTTATTTACATATAATAACAAACTAAAAGCAATCTCTCAATTTTTTCATGGATGACACATCTTTGTTTCTCAGATGCAATTTTTGTTACTCCTTTATCTGCTTAAGTCTTTTTGATTATATCTTTCTTAGCTAAGATTACTTTAACAGGTTTACAGTAGATACAATCTGCCTACAATATCAGACATCTTCTGCCCATTACCCCTTGGCTATTATCTCTTACTTAGTTTCTATACTGAACACAGTTCTTGAAACTCCATTCTTTTTAAGCTCCATAATCTTATCAGTTTTCTTAAATAAAAAGTTCAGAAAAGCACTTACAAAAATTCAGAAAACAGAAATTAACTAGTGCAAGAAAGGTTATGTATACAACTGTGAGTCTTGTTCCATAAACCATGTATAAATGCCATTAAAATATAGTTTTACAAATACCTAGAAATTTTTAAAATTAAGATTTAGACTAAATTCTTTTGAAATTCTAGTACGCTAAATGTGAATTGATAGTTTACCCCAGAAATTCCCTTAATTTCAAGCTGTAAAACATTTTCACCAAAATTAAATTCTATTGAATTCAAGTTTTTATCTAATGAGGGGACAGCATGATGTTGGGGGTCAGTGATTTTGATCAAACAGTGTGGTTATAGTGTATCCCCAACATCTGACATGTGCCAAGCAATAAGGTGCAACACTCAAAATTAAATGAAAAAATTGAGATTGAAAATTGCAATTCACTTACAACCTTTAGAATTGCAATCCTCAGTAATGTGGCCAGTGGCTCAGTGAAGACATGCCAATTTCATAATCATGAGATTGGTGTTTCAAATCTCAGTGGTATCAATGTAATTTTTTTTCTGGTACTTTTAAATTTATTATACTGTCAGAGAGAAAAACTAATTTATTTTTAGAAAACTACTAATGCACAATAAACAGGGTAATAAAACAATAAAATCTAGGCTATCTGTTTCAAGTAACAAGTCAGTGTCAAAATCAATTAATAAATGCTATCTAAGAATATTTATTTAAAAACAAAACATTTTCTGTATATTCATGTACAGCTTGTACTTACTCTAGCAACAAAGTCATTGTTCAATCTAAATGTGTCTAAAATTGTATTTTCATTCACTAAAGAACAAAAAGACAGCTTAAATTATCTCATGCTAACATCAATAGCATAGAAATGCATTCTGCAGAAGAATAACTGAATGACAGCATTACAAAATTTACATATTATAAGCCCTGGTGCATCCTTCAAAATGAATTTCTAATTGCAGCTGAGGGTTCTTCATAATTTCAGAAGTTGCAAAGGCAGCAGGAAAAAAACATCAAGCATTCTGATTTTTCCAATCTGATGCAGTATGAATGATTTGCCTCTAAATATGAGGTCAGCCGATTAGGGTGAGGTGTTTTCGACAGCCGAGTGGTCAATACTGTCGTGTGGGCGCAGAATGACTTTCTGAGACAGGTTTACCATATAAAACCGTTTATTAAACATAGAAGTTTTCCTTACAAATTCCTTGACAAACGAAGTGGCACCACAAAGCACGCGGATAAAGTCCGAAATAAAGTTCGAAAAATTCTGTTTTCGTTACTTGTGGATGGACGCTGTCGGTGAAATATTCCGTAGGCCCCGGGGCGTTGATCACGGCTTTCAGTGGCTTCTCGTTGGACGAACTGACGAATCTGTAGATCGCTAGGAGGCACCCAGAGAACGATGCTTCCACGATGTTCTTTGTTTTTTTTCAAAGATCGGGAGCATGCACGTCCAGGAGAAGAATCGCTACGTATCCAAGCACCAAGAACCTTTGTCCCTTGAGTCGCACGGTTTTATAGATTTCTTAACCGTAGTCGCCTCTCCATTGGTCTCTCATTGTCACCTGGTGACAATTCGAAACCTAATGAAGGGCGCGGGAGAGGTCAATGTTGCGACTGAATATGATTCCTCTCTCTCGTCGCGTTTTCCTCGAATTTATCCGTTTCCATTGTTTAACAAATTTACGAAAAAAACAATTGCATTGTTCACTCGGGACACCTAATCCATTTCCTTAGCGTCTGAAAAGGAGCTCTTTACTTTAAATCGACACCCATAATTCGGATCTCTCAGTCGACCCCTGTTCGGGTCCTCACATAAATTAGTTGATGATGGAAGAGTGTTTTTAAACACTAATCAAGTTTGTTTTGCAGTGACATATGTAAATCTTCTTATTGTAAAAATCTGCATTTATTCAACGCGCACACTGCACAAATGTTTATTGTTTCACATGCTTCTACACCAATTATCATCCACATTATTATGTTCCTTGAAAGCAAACAGACTGAATACTGTTAATAAAAATGTCTTTTTTGGCCTTGAATAATGATAATTTTCAAATATACGAGCGCTAAGATGGCTTTTCTTTCGCTAACTATTTTGCTAACTTGTATACATTATGGTAATTTTCCCTGTATAGTTGTAACACAAGAATTGAAAAGGGATATAATTATCCGAAATGCATACTGAAATAAATAAAAAGTCTTTCTAAAGTTTGTCCTCCGTTTCAATGATGGTATAATAAGTCTAGCGGAAAAGAAAAGCCATCTTAGTACTCGTATATTTGAACACAAGACTAGACAAGAAGCGTATCGCATAATTCAATGATAATTTTGTTTAAATCTAATCCTCTTCTTAAATAAATTATAAAGAAATGTTAGTATGAATCCCATATGTATTACATGAATATCTGAAAATAATTTTTAAATAAATATAATAAATTTGAAAGTACTAAGAATAAAGTAAAGATTATAGTTTTAGGATTAAAAAACAATAACATTAATACTACTGAGATTCAAAACACCAACCTCATGATTATGAAATCAGCTGCCCCCTCCAAGCCACATTACTAAGGATTGGAATTCTAAAGGTTTTAAGTGATTTGCAATTTTAAACCTCAGTTCTCTTGTTTAATTTTGAGTATTATGCCTTACTGCTTGGCACATGTCAGATGTTGGGGATGCACTATAAAGTCACTGATTTTGATCACCAAGTTTGATCAAAATTAGTGACCCCAACATCATGTAAGACTCATTTTTTAACAATGTTTACTTATTTTAGTTGTTAAAACATTACTATTATATGCTTGTTTTATAATCTTCCTTTTTCTTTGTTTGATTTATTTCTGTTCTTGAAATAAATTAAATTTAAAATTCCTTATACACTTATCTGTGTACCCTATAAATGACAATGTGGTGTATACTACATATTATAATGCTACAAAGAATGAGAGCAAGAATTGGCCATGATACATGATACAGTCAATGCTTTCTACTTCTGACAAGGAAGGCAATACATGACTTTAGATCAGTGTTTCTCAACTTCTAATGAATCGTCGCCCCCTTCAATAAAACCATTACATAGTATCGCCCCCTTCACTTCACTTCAAAATTCCAATGCCGAGGGCCAAGGCTAACGCCAAATTCGTATTGCATTGAATAGACTAGTGACTAGTATAATGTTATTTGTTTAATTATTGTACGATATAAGGAATAAAATATCTAATTATTCTTACTATAATTTTTTACTATATCATCCAGAAAATTGTTTTTTGGCCCCAAAATATAAATTGTTATTAATTGCCACCTCAACCTGGAAAAATGCCCACATGGGGGCAATATTGCCCCGTTGAGAAACACTGCTTTAGATGATCAAACAAATGAGAACAAGTCAAGAGCAAGAAATGCAAGAAGTAGAGGACATGGCTTATATGGTATGTATAGACCTAGAGAAAGAGTGCAACAGGTGTCTAGTGTGGAAACTCGTAAGACTTATTGGTCTCACTAATTGTGAGTGTAGGTGGTCCACCACGTGGGGAAGAGAGACAAAGAAACCAGTTTGTAATAAGTTTATAGAAATATGACAAAGTACATACGTTTTCATACAATTATAACGACGGTTTACAAGATACGATTATAACGACAGTTCACAAGATACAATTATAACGACAGTTCACAAGATACAATTATAATGACGGATCACCAGATACAATTTTTTTCACACATAAAAAAGATTCTCACCGTTACAATTCTATAGTCCTAGCTGTTACACTCGTTGTAATCCAATCTAATTCAGGAACACACCAAAAACAAAAAAAACCAAGTCCACAGTAGAAGGAGCACCACGTGTTCCCTGACTCCTCTGTCGATCCAGGAGGTAAGAAGGATAATCCCCTATCCGGTCCATGGCCTTAAATACCTCCCTTACACCTTCCCCAAGTTGCCACCCCTTTTTCCCCACGGCTGAAAAGTAGCCAAAAAAGCAGAAAAAAAAAAAAAAACTATATGACATGTATAAGGCAGAGGGCTACAACCACACACTAGACAGAAGGCTTGGAAATGTGTAAGGGTTAAGGGAATACCAGAAAAGTATGTAAGACTTTTAAAAAAAATGTATAAGACAGCAATGACTCAAGTAAAGAGTGGTATAGGTATGACAGAGGGATTCACAGTAAGAGTTGGACTGCACCAGGGCTCAGCCCTCAGCCTGTTTCTGTTTGATTTGGTGATGGATATATTAGTCGAAAATGTGAAGAGCAAGGCACTGTGGAGTATGTTGTTTGTGGACAATATTGTGCTGTGCAAAACATTCTGAGATGAGGTAGCAAAGAAACTGAAGGAATAAAGGAAAGTGCTGGAAGAGGGAGGCATGAAGATCAACAGAGCAAAGACAATATATACAGCATCTGGTGAAGGGGATGAGAATTATATATAACTTCAGGGTAAAAAGTTAATAACAGCTTAAATTCCAAAATACTTAAATTTGGAATTTAAGTATTTTGGATCATGTATAGAAAGTGATGGAGAAATGATTGCAAAAATCAGCATAGAGTTCAGAGTGGATGCTGAACTGGAGAAAGATGAATGGGGTGCTGTATAATATAAGAAAATAAACTGCAAAATGAAAGAAAGATTATACAAAACCATGGTAACCTACAAAGATGAACAGTGCTGAAACATGCGCAATTACAAGAGCCCAGAAAAAGAAAATGGAGATAGTAGAGATGAGAATGCTCAGATGGATATGTAGTGTGGCGAGTAAGAACAGATTAGGAACAATTACATAAAAAGAACAGTCAAGGTTGATCCTATAAATAAAAAGATGCAGGAAAATAAATTAAGATGGTTTGGACATGTGGAGAGAAGAAATGACAACTAGGTTGGAAAGAGGATTGGGAAGTTAAAAGTGATAGGGAAGAGGAAACGAAAAAGACCAAAGTTAAGATGAAGAGACAATGTGGCAGAATATTACAGAGAGGAAAAGAAGAAGAGAGGATGCCCTGGTAGAGCGAAGTGAAGAAAACAGATTAAAGATGGAAATGCTGATCCCATATAAACATGGGAAAAAGCAAAGACAAAAAAGAACTGCTTATCTCACAGAGTTATGAAGTCAAATAACATGAATTCTGGAAATCAGCCAGAAAAAATGTAAGGGCATCACACAAATACAGCAAATGCTAATCTCTCATGTTCAAACTGTGTTATATATATTCAATATAATTTCATGTTATTAAAAATAACTAAGTCTGTCAGTTTGAGCCAGATACTGAGTGAAGCAAGATGTCTGGTCCATAAGGTCACACCTAGTATTAATTAATTCTTCACAGAGTTATGAAAAACAGTGGTATTGCATTGTCACAAGTATTTTCCAAACAATGAAAGTATCGTCTTAACAAACAAAAATGATAAACAGTAACATTTATTGCCAGAAGCTAACCATGATCTGATCTGGCAAGTTACAACATTAATTATGATTTTTTAGAACTTAAATGATGGTATGCTGAAATTTTCACTTTACTCAGATTATGCCATGCAATTGGTTCCTAAAAAATTATTTTGCATTAGACATATTTTCAACTTACAGTATTTTATGTAGCAAATAATTTCATTTAGGCATATTTCCTTTCTATAGAGGTATGTATAAATAGATTTTACTATAGTTTTTTATATAATGATGATTTATTAAACTTCATAGAATAATTTTTTACATATAAAGTAATGTTAATTTTTAATCATTTGATCATGTTTAAAAACTATTCTCAGAAAAGATTATTTAAAATTAAAATAACTAATAGTCACATACCTCAATTATTTCTTGAATTACTTTCATACCGGTGGGAGTAAAATTAATATCTAAATGATCTTTTGAATCAATGACAACATAAGTTGCTAAAGTTTCAACTCTTTGATTTAGGATAGAATCAACAGCATCCTCTGAAGGAGATAATAAAACTACACAATTAATGTTGTAATCTGTCTTTTGTAATCACAATTAATAATATTTTCTCAAAAAAAATTAAACAATTAAATTATCAAAAAATTTTATTTAATACATACCATACATTCTACCTTTGTTTTTTCCAGATGAAATAAATACAGGATGTTCTTCAATTGATCCTTCATTATCAGCTGTCTCAGTTTCTCCAGAATCTGATTTAACATCTGTATCATTCAGATTATCAGAATCACTTAATTCTTCACTACTTTCATCAGAAAATAAATGACCAAATGTTGAAGCAATTTTTTCTAATATTCCATCTTCATTTTCAGAATCTGAATCTGGAGGATATGCGACAAGACTACCAGAATCTAAGATTTAATCAATTTTGCATTAATTTTGTTTTTTCTGATTTTTTAAACATTGAAAATACAGTGGATTCTTGATCTATCATTTTTGGCAGGACTTGGGGAAAAACCAACTAATGAAGGAAAATGATTGACACAGGAAATTGATGGCATTGATGATTTTATTGTTTATCTCATATGAAATGTGTATTTTCCAGTGATAGGCTTATATGATGGCTTTCTGTAAAACTAAATGATATGGAGCATGCACATGGATGTTTGTTTATTCTAAATTTTAAAAAATTGTTAAGAATACTGAAATTTGTCCCATTTTCTTTTGGTAAGAATACTTAATGTATTGACTCTTTTTCTTGCACTTGAAGATGATACTGTAGAAGTGTCAAAAATGTTAGTGAAATTATAAATTTTTGTTACTTACAATCTGTTGATTCTCTTATGGAAAAGGGTTTTGACTTTTCTCACTTGTCCAGATGATCTCCCCTACCTCAAGACAGCACAGGGTTGCCAACCATACAGGAGAAAAATCATCATATCTGTCCCTTGAAATTATTGTATTTCATGTAAAATTATCACACATTCATCTCAATCCTTAATACTTCTATGTAAGTATAAACACGGTTTGCCCTATGTCAGAACCTTGTAAACTTCTTATCTGCGATCCCTTCTTACAATAAAAATATTTTTAGATCCCATTCATTTAGCAATAAAGTTTTCACAACTATCCCTTACAATATATAATGCTGTGGCTACACGCCATATTTCCAATGTATATTTTTGTATAAATGTATATTACTTTATAATTGTTTGTTCCCTGTCCACCTTTCTATCTTTTCTATTGTCTTATCTTTCTGGAATGTTCTTGTTTAATCCTCCTTCTTGGTATGTGGACAACTAATCTCTGAGAACAATAGATGGAATGCAACCCTGAGGGCAAGAAGGGTAGCACGTGGCTCATTCTAGAGCAGGAATCCAGAGAGGTAAGACGGCAAAATCTATCTCCCCAGTGCATTTTGCCCTTACATGGTAGAAACAAGGACTTTGGGAAGAGAGAGAAAAATTGATTGTGAGAAATAGAAAACACAGTCAGTCCTTCGAACTGATTATAAAATAGTGAGAGAATTGAGCCTATTCATGATCCCAGGAAGAAATCTCATCTCAACATACTGACGGCAAATAGAACATTGCAACAGATTTTGGGTACCCTCTTTCCTATTCCCTGTTCTTACTCTTCAGTTTTTCTAATTAATTATCTTATTTTTATTAGTTATAAGTAGTCGTAAGCACCTAGTTGTAACTTATGCATAATTCAAGACAATTAGACAATTGATTCGGGTAGAGATCGCCACGCAAATTTTTTGTCAGGGATCAATCTTGTTTAATTTTTCGTGTGATTACTATTGTGTATTATTTAATGGGAGAGGTATTAGTTGGCATCCTAAAAGAATACTGTATTGTGATGAGCAAGTAATAAATTTCTTTTTTATTTTAGTCCTTTGTCTACATTTCGCTCTATCATTTTCACAATGCAAAACAAACTTCTGAATGGGCATAAGATAAAATTTACATTTTTTTTCATACAATTTCAACATACCAAACATTAACAAATTATTACTGACAAATATGTAACATTCCTTTATATACCATACTTATTTCATATACATAAATGTTAGTTTTTCCAAATTTTTGTGATCATCTAAAATTTTTAGTCCTTGAGTGATCGTTACTCTCTATGCCAAAAATGTTTCAGTTCTAGACAGTTCACTAGATGGAACTACTCTGTAGGTACTACATTATTACATCTTATTATATTTTATACAAGTAGAGTATAATGACATTTCAACAGAATGTTTATTTGCACAAATTTTCTTTTCACATCAATTTGAGTATTTTATCAGTAGGTGTAAAAGTTTGGCAGTTAGCGGTCTCAAAAAGTATGAAAGGTTTATCTTATAATCAAGAATATATGGTAGTAGCCAAACTAAAACTTCCAAAAATTTAGTAGCCTTCTAGCAGTGAAAAAAAAAAAAAAAAATCAATGAAAAGGCAATACGTATAAAAATAGCGATTGCAAATTGGTTTTTTTTAAATTAACAGTTGTTTTCAGAGTAAGGCATATTTATGAAATTATTGTACTGTACAAAACCCTATTATCATACAGCCATTACTGTACATTGTACAGCACCTAAAATAATCATACAAATACGAAAATTATTGTACAGATGGCAAATCCTGAGACAACATGTTAATTTTTATTAGCGTTGCCAGGCTTTAAGAGGAATGTTGCCAATAAAGTACAATATTTTGTAAAGCAGTAGAAAAAAGTAGCCAAAAATTATAATAAAAACTGGTTAGCTATAGTCAAATTTAACTACATATTTAACTGCTAAATTTGATGTTTTTTTATTTTTAGTACATGAAAATCAGTGTTTCAATTTAACATTCTCTATTGTGAGTAAAATGATTGACACAGGATAACATTTCTTTCAGTTAAAATACAGAACGAACATTGTGGGAAGATGAATGATACAGGAATAAAGAATATGGGAAAAATTAACATTATATATATGGGTCTTCATTTGGGACTGGAGAAAACAACAGATAGATGCAGAAAAATGATTAATATGAGAACAATAGATTGAGAATTCACTGTATAAATATAAGTTTTCCTTTATGAATAATGGTTAAGAATGATTAAGAAAAGTATTCGGAGATGATATATATAAGTTGTACGAAGTTTGGTTATTAAAACAAAACACAGCATTTGATGGGTATTGCCTGTATATANTAAGAAAAAAAAAAAAAATTAGATTGAAATTTATATAAATTAAAATCATTATAAAAAAATGAAAAAACCGTATTTATTTACTAGTAGAGAGTAGGGTATGTCCACAAAATAGAATAGCTCATATGATGTTTTTGTGAATAACCAAGGTCATTACCCAAATGCCTGAATCAGTGCGATTGTTGCAAACATTCGCACTGATTCAAGCAGTACTGCCAGATGCAAGAAAATAAAATTTGTTTATTCAAAAAATTACAAATAGGACATAATTCTGTATACTCTATACAGTATTATTATATAGATGATGATCGCTGATCTAAGCTAAATTCATAGGCCGTTGATAGTTTGGGGGTTGTCTTAAAGGACATATATATGGTAAAACTATAAAACTTTGATGAAAATTTATACTTCGTCTTATCTGAAGGTTGTTTTATCTGTGGAAATATACAGTATGTAAATTATCATTGTAATTATTTTTGAAAAATAAGAATAAATACCATAAACGTCTAAATAAATATGGCTGTATAAAAATAAAATATATATAATAAAAATTTATTCACTTCTGCAATAAGATTGTCCTTAGTTTCTGAAAATTCATCAGTATAGTCCTCTGCCTAAAAACCCTTCAGAAACTAAAGACAATCTTATTGCAGAAGTGAATAAATTTTTTTCATGGTACTTTGAAAACCTGAGAACTCAAAGGTATATTACATCAGTAAGAGCAAGAATTAAGCCAAAGGTTACACATTACAATATCAGCTCATGATCTTAATAAAGTAGCCAATATAAAAATACTTTAAAGTATTTTATGTTTCAAAACTAACATAATTTTATAACTATTTTATCTTGTAATATGTAAGTGTAATGCTTTCACATTGATTCTCTTTTATTTATAGAAATATTTTCTTCATACATATCTAAACTTACATATAAACTTTATAACCCACTTATGAATATGTAAACAACTAGTAAATGAGTTATCAAAATATGTATAAAATATATATACAAAGTTTTATTTTTATAATATAGTGAGTTAATTTATATATTATAATAAGATAAAATATAAATATTAAAATATACAGGATAAAATATATTGGTAAAAGTTATAAATTTGAGTCTAAACAAAAAATTTATTTTGAACTCTTCTAAATATTAATTTACAACTTAAGAACACTAGCAGAATCTACCTTTGTTTATCAGCTCTGCTTACTTTTATAAACAAGACCCTATAGTGAAAGATTAACTCCAATTTCTGTGTTCCAACAATTTTAAACAGACATTTAGAAAACTTCAGAATATTTTTTGTATTTAGTCACCAATTTTGTAATTTTTTTCAGGTAAAATATTTTTTCATCCATTGCAACATACCATGAGATTTTACACTTCCTAATCTTTTTGGACGTGCTACAGGATGGTGTCTAATTACTGTCATTCCCATTTCTTCATCAGTGTCATCATTATCTCCAGATGATGAATCAGATACAACTCTTGAAGTTAAAGATCTAGTATCACTATCAACTATATCTGACAACAGGATAGCATCTCTATCTGTCTGTGAACAAAAGATTGGATTGCTGTGATCCTGAAACACCTATAAATGATTAAACATATACTGCATTTCAGCATTTTAACATAATTAATATGAATATGTTTGGTTATATATATATATATATATATATATATGTAAAATTAAACTAATTTAAAGATATTACCTTAATTAAAACTTCCCAAGGACGATAATAATTTTCTGATTCCATAACTGGTTCTATTATTGGTTCCCATACAGCAATATTTTGATTAAAATATAAAAATTCCAATTGGAGTTCCATTTTCATATAAGGCTAAATAAATTATATTGTTTTTTAATAATTTTGTAGAAATTACAACTAATGTAATCAACATTATGTGAAAAATTTAGATCTTTTAATGGAATAGAGTGAATATCAATTTATTCAATACATTCAAAAGAATATCTTTAACCCTTTGATGAATACTCCTATATATATGTTATTCAAGTTTGTATCATTGTAGTAAGCTCATATATTTATGGACAAATGTGAAACTTTACAGAAAGATACAAACAACTCTTGACAAGTCTAGAAAACTTTCTCCACATGGTTTTTGTAAGTCTCACAAGATTTAGCCTAGAATTTTATAGCATAAAGACAAACATGGCATCTAGTTATTCACACATGCTATTGCCTTCTGAATTGTTGGAGTTATTCAACACATTGAAATCAGAAAAAAATATTGCCTAGTTTATTAAGAAACAAGTAAAAAACAGCAAGGCCATTTTTGGGATGAAACTATGTCTCGAACACTCACTACTAAGTGAGATCACTTAGACACTCACAGTGGGTCTCGTTCTCATTCTCCAATCTTCTTTGATATCGCTGGTTTTGAGCATAATCATTCAAACTTCGCTGGCCTCGACCTTGGCCATGACCATGAGGTTGTCCACAGAGGAATTTTCAGTGAAATTAACCTATCCAATGTTGAAATTTTTCTCCATTACATACATGTTACCCCTGGTTAAAATTTTGTAATGACCAACAAAAATTCCCTGTTTTTGAAAAAAATAATTGTGACTATTGTATTGTCTGAAATTATTTTTTTATTTTACACAAACAAAATAAACATATTAATAAATGTAAAAACAAAAAAAAAGAAGTTATATTTTGGAAGTTACTTTTAATATAAAATTATAACGACTAGCGTCATCTAGTTTCAAAAATGTTCCAATGTTGAAATGAGATAGCTCAGATCAACCGGTCAAGGTCAGCAGGTCATGACCAGAAATATGTTGGAAATAACAAGGGACAGGTAAATGGGTTTTTTTCAAAGATTCATTTGTCAAAATTCAATTTCACAATGTTTGCATTTCCAACTTCCCATGAGCAATGCATGCACAAATCTTGCACTAGCACCTATTTGTAGAAAAAGTGTCGCCATTTTGTATTTTACTTTGACTCAGTTCTCAGTCCCAAGTACCTACAAGTCTGGGTTTTTATGTGCACATAATTTGGGCACCAAATACTCTGTGCCAAATTGCAACTCCTAACATGTACTGTACTCCTTCATACCTCTATGGTGTCCAGATGTTACAGCACCATGATTTTATAAACAAGACATAGTCTCGTCAATATGAATTAGAAAATTAGATATTAATTCTTAGAAGCAAGCATAAAATTGCTTAGAAAAACTAATCATACAGGAACACAATGATATTAGATTATACAAGCTTTCAGGGGCGTGCCATGACATTTGATGATAGGGAAGCTGTGTTTCTGTAAGAAGCCGACATCCAGGGGCAATCAGTCAATTGCGCATCAGTGATGATCTAGGGTCCATTCATATCGTTTATTCGATAAGCCAGTAAAAACCGGAGATTTCTCTAAACGCATTTTTAATATCACAATTACATTCCGAATTGCTAGCCACAATATAAGTGCTACAATTAAAAATAAAATAATAAAAACTTGTTTGGTGAAATAAAATATGTGGTGGATGTACTGGTACATACATAATATTCTTCAATTATATGAATATACTTTTAAAAAAAATTATAATTAAATCTAGCTTTGCAAAGAAACGTACATAAAAATATAAAATATTCTTTACTTTTTAAATCTTAAAACAATGCACTTAGTCAAATAGCTCCCTACGAGTGGCTAATGGATGGAATCGAAGACAGTTGCAGAGCGTGCATACACGCGGACTGTCAAATCCCCAGGGTGCTGATACCGGTCAGTGTCAAATACCTCTTATCGCATCATTAGTATATCTCAAAGGACATGACAGGGCTGTTGTAACTTTTAAACGTTTCTCACCATAGCTGTAAAAATCTAAATATGTTAAACTTAATAGTCATTTGTTTTCTAACTAATTTGTTTTAGGACCAGGTGTTGTCCATGGAAATTTCCAAAATTTACAACTTTTCGGTCACTCTCATTAAACTGGAAAAATTTCTGTCTTTATTACATCTAATACAGTATTTCGAAGAAATCAGTTCCCACTGTACTCGGCTATAGATTGGTTCGATTAAGCTTTTGTTTAAGTAATATTCTGGCTCTTTTGTCAGGGTTTTGTTTATGTACCCAATTCCCTAATCGCTTAATTATTTAACTACTTCTTAAGTAGAAATAAGTTGAAACCAGTTACTTTGTACTCGAATATTTGTAGTCTCGGGAAAAAAGTGGAAAGACAAATTTTTATGACAAATGGATACATAAATCGTAAATTTAAGGAAAATAAATTCTAGAGCTTTTTCTGTACCTGGTGCATCTCTCTTATTCATTAAATTTAATCGTAAATGACGCTGTCGAAGTAACAGTTAATTTTTTAACATTATACAAGAATTGTACACATTTTTTTCCACATCCCCTTAAAGATGGGATATACGAAATCGTAATATCACCAGTTTAACATTGAAATCCGTGAGTAATATAAAATCGGAGAGCGGAATAAATATATCAAATATTTTAATAGATTTTTTTTAACTCCTGTCAACTGTACAGAACTATCGTAAAAACATACCAGTAAATTCTTATCGGTTGGGTTAAGTTATAAGTCTACTCGTTATTCACGTAATCAGCCAAATCTAGCGGGCGGGCGGCTAACAGCTCAGAACTGGACCCAGGTAGAATTGGAAGCGTTATATGTGTAGCATCAATCCAAGGTCGTAGGCTTCCACCGGCTAAACCGGGTGAGGGTGGTGCTTCGTAAAGCACATGCGCAAATCTGGCTTTTTGGAATCTGACAATACAGAGATTCCACACAGATATTCCAGACAGATATTCCAGAGATTCAATATATTCGAATATACAATAGCAATCTTTTTTTTTTCACGTGTTGTATAGAAATTTGTAATAAGATACATAATGCGGTTATAATAAAATATTGTGTGATTATTTTATATAATTAAAATTAATACGTATTTATTTTTTATAAAATACAAGGGAAGTGGCACTTCCACCGCTTCTAATGACAGCATGCCACTGCAAGCTTTATTGATTACAAACGAAAGTATTTTGGAGTGTTTGTCCCCCATCAGTCCTTTTATTCAGTACATATCTGATTAAAAACATTAAAAGTTTTGGGATTACAATTCTAACTATTTACATATGTGCACTAAAATACATAAAAAATAATGTTATCTGGAAAGTAGTAATGATGTGTATTATAGTTATGTGGATAACAACTGGATTCATAGAATTGAGTTTGTTCTTAAAATTTGATTGGTTGATTTCAATTAAACTTTGACAATTTACATAATATGATATGAGGAAATTACAAATACAATAAAAATTGAATGGCCATGATTTTATTTTTGAGATACAAGGTTGCTAGCAAGAGCAACTTTTAAATTCTTTTTTTATCCCAGCAGCAGCGGTACCTACAGACTATAAAAAGGGCATCATATGTACAGTATATACGATGTATATACTTTGTATATATTACAGGTATACCTTGATTAATGCAATTAATTAATTTCTTGAAGATATCATGTATATCAAAATTGCATTAATCAAATACAGTGGTACCTTGATATGTGACCAAACAATCATGAACAACTAGAACAAATTTTCCATGATAAAAATGAGTAAAGGTTTCATTTTATTTTTAAATTAGTAACTAATTTAAAAATAAAATGAAACCTTAGAGCTCTCCTGGTGATTATGAAAAGGTTAATAGAACAACGAAGGTGGGTACATGCCTCAAGTGCCCCAATGTATGGGTGCCCCTGGCCAGCAGTAATGTCACTGCTACAACAGTGGCAAGTGATCATTGTAGATAGTCCTCAAAACATTGTTATTGACAGTGTTTCAACTCAATTCTTAGTTCATATTCAGACAGAAAATGATTTGTACTTAGGTTAAAAACTAACTCACTAACTCATCAAGAGGTTAAATATAAAAAACAATCATTTTACTATGTAATTCAATTTCAGATTTATGCTAAACAAATTCTGAGTTAGATAATAATAGACTCTCCTTCAGTTATATTCAACAATAGAACCAGAGGCTGTTTTCTAATCATCAATCATTTCTTGTCTTTGAGAGATAGTGTTTATATCATGAGCTTGTTGTGGAGTGATTAAAAATTTGTTTATGTCTTGAGAAATTGTATCATCTCTCCACATGCAATTCTATATGTAAACTACTTATTCTCTTGAGAATTCTCTCTTATTCGAAAAATTAGCAAATAGTTGTCATTCCACTATTCTCTCATTTTTAGTCTTGATTTTGTTGTAGAAAAACAAATGATTGAATACTACTCACATTGTATGATATTTGTAAAATATTTTCTTTCTTAGAAGAGATTACTTTGAGATAGAGATAATATATTTGATGTGGGCAATAATAAATTTAATTTATGATATTATCTTAATAAAGAAGCTCCACTCAGGGTCATTGGGCTGTCCTTAAAATTACAAAATACAGATATAGATGGGTGGGTATACAAATAATCATTAACACTGCATTACAAAGGGGTGTGATGTTTACAAAAATGTTATGTAATGCTAGGGTCTTTAAACTGATTGGTGTTGTTTGTTAACATGTTAACTACTGCCTGTACATTGATGTGTTCCCAATCTGGGAGCCAAAAGAAAAAAACTTGGATATTTAATATTTTTTGTTTCAAGTTATAAAAGAAACATTCAATATTTTATTAAAATTTTAAATATAAGGATTGTTATATAATATTTAATTTAATGAAATTAAGTAAAAATATACAAATGACTACTGGCTGCTATATGGCTTGGTAAGGAATAGTATTTGCCAGGAGGCCATATGACATCAGGCTGTTGCATTTACTTATTGTGCAATTTGGTGTAATA